TTATTCCTTTTTGGACCAAATACCAAATTTGCCCTTAATAAATCTTGAAAATTACCAAATGCCATTGTATTATCTTCTATTAAAATATTCCTTGGTCAAAGATGATACAACTTGACTTTGACTTTCGAAATTGACCATGCAATTTTTAAAAATTGCATTTTAGTCACTAAAATTCCATTTGTTTGGTCAAATCTGAAAAATTGCACTGTTCTGAGCCAAATTTCTCTTATCGAAAATATGAAAATAATATTTCCAACCATTTTATAACATCCTTCAAATTTTCGTAAAATTCTGGTTCGTTCCGATTATCTGATTTCAATACCAAAATTTACTGCTTTATAACTTTTATCACAATTCCCGTACCAAAAATATGATCCCACTAAAATCTCTGTTTTAATCCAAACTTTTTATTTACAGACATAAAATATATATAACTTTTAAAAATTACAAATTTTGGGTCCTAAACTTTTCAAAGTTTATACTTTAGCTATTATACTTTCAAAACTTATATTTTAGCCACTGATCAAAATTTGGGGTATTACAAAGACCGTCGATATTCATTATTTTTCTTTTATTTTCTTATATCACATATTTACCTTTTTTCTTAGTTTTTTATTTTTTTTAAATTATTATGCTTTTTTGACACATTTTCCTCTTCTTTTTGACACGATTTCAATATTCTTTATTGAATGATTTGGTCGTTATTTTATTTAATTTTCTCAAGGTTAAATTTGATATCGGCTCGACTGATCAATATGACGCTTATTAATTATCATATTGATCTTTCATGTTTTAGATCCTATAATTGAATTTAGATACACATTTCTCGCGACATTCAATTCTGATTTTATCACATAATTAATAAAATAGATCATCCTTCCTCCTCTTATACCCATATAAATGTAAAAACAACACTATTATGTTAAATGTAGTTGCATGGATTAAAAAATTGTAAAAATCATCATAGAAAAAGTTTAAACCGACATAATTAGCTCATTTGTCCTATTAATTATCAAATCACGTTGTTAAAATTTTTAAACTGAAGAAAAATAGATGAAATCATTATGATATAGATTATATATAAGAGATATTTAATATAGTTTATTTTGTCTGTTATAGTGAGTGAAAAACAATAATCTACCATAGATATAAAGATTATAAATTACAAATATCTCCAAATATTCTCATATAAACCAAATATCTGTCAAAGTACTACCTGACTGATTAAAAATTATTCTCACTGCAACTTAAAATTCATAGTAGTAATTTTCTCTTGCATGCCTTCATTCTTACTAATACAATCTCCAAAAACAAATTTCTTTTAACAAATCAAACTATAGCTCCAATAACACTTGTTAGAATTTTAGAAGCGAAAAAGGTAATAACAATAATACTAGATCAAAGTGAAATAGATTAGATATAAGAGATGAGATTTAATTTAGTTCGACTTTATTTATCTCCATAGGCAAGAGATTGAATTTAGCGTGATTCCACATTGTTTATCTCTACAAATAAAAAAAATTAATATAAATATATAGAATACAAATTTATGTATCCAAACACACACATATATATATAAATAAAGTTCTTTCAACATTCATCTAAAATATCTTTGCAACAAGACCCTAAGAGTTTCAAAAGCATTACATTTCTGAAATAATTTTTCCATAATTCTAAAAATTAATATATACTCCATATAGAAAACAAACTTAATTATAAAAAATTATTGTCACCTAAGTATTTTTGTATAATTAAATTTAATTATCCAATAATCTTTAACTATTGAAATCATATTAAAATTTAACTTAGTTACGAATAACATATATGATTAAAATTATAGTAACGTTACAATATAATAACGGGTAAAAAAAATTGAGAAGTTTTACGATCTGCAAGTAATATTATTGACATATAACATAATGCGGGCAGATCTTTCAGCCCAATAAATATCTGCATAAAACTAAATTCAGAAGTGCAAGTTGTGGTGAAAATGAAGAAGGTACAACTCGCCATGTTTTGGGGATCGAAGATCTTGTTGCTTTCAGTCGATGATACTATTTCAAGGCTCACAAACAAGTAACTATATGTAGGCCCGGTACGACTAATTGCCTAAACCACAGTACCACACCATAACCCAGTTTCACCACAGTAGGTTGTGATCTGCTGGCGATCCTTGATTGTGCTTACACATACACTCTTCTACCCTCGTTTCCTTTTCCCGATTGTCTTGGCTTTTAGTCTTATTCTGTTCCTGCAATATGTCTTCTGTTTCAGAAATTGTCTGCTCAAGTCCAGCCCAATTCTTGAAAAAAGATTGTTAGTAGTACACGTTTCAGTGAGCTTGGGACAAGTAGATCCATTTTTCTTTTCTTTTTCAAGAAAAATAAACCATTCAAATTTTATTCGGTTATGAATACTAGATTACCTCGTGTGTTGTTGAAAAATAACCCTATATCATAAATGAATAAAGTGTTCGATAATATGTTCGTGAATTGTTTGTATAACGTTCATTTGTTAAGCTAAATAAATGAATATAAACAATAAATTTTATATTAATTTAATAAATGTACGAACACAAACAAATGTGTTTTCGGTTCGTTTATGTTAAAAAACAAGTTGGTTTATCAATTTGTTCGTTTAAACAAGCTCGTTTATCGGTTCGTTTATAATCCTATTTATATGTTAATTTATCTGATTATCTTTTTTCTTTTATCTTTTTACATTTAAATTTTGGTGAATATAGAGATTAAATTGAATACAAGAAAAATTTTGGAGTTAATACTATGATGCCTAAGAAATTTAAGAACTAATTTTATTTAGTTAGTTATGTTTAATTTAATTTTTGTTTGCTTGTTTGTTTAGTTAACATTTTTAAATGTATAGATGAACATGATAAGTTTGCAAATATTAAATAAATATGTTTTTGAACGTTAAACAAACATATTCATAAACGTTAAACGAACATGTTCATGAACATTAAACAAATATATTCGCAAATGCTAAACGAACTAATATAAACATCTTCAAAAATAAATAAATGAACATGAATATTATATTAAAATTTTAAACGAAAACAAACCAAATATAAACACCTTCAAAAATAAACACACGAACACAAACACAATCTAATTCGTTTCAAACTCGATTCATTTACACCACAATATTACCCTATAATATAAGTGAATAATATATATATATTTTTTGAATTTATTATTAAATATTTATTAATATAATGATAAAATAAAATTATTAATCTTGTTTTTAAATTTTAATATTTTATTTAAACGCCGTATATAAGTAGTAAAAAAATTTATTCTCAATAAATATAGATGCACAGTTTTGAATTATTATATTTTTTACTGGAAGTATTACTTTTAATGAGAGAGCGGTAATTCTAAAGGTTTCTTTCTTTCTTTCTATTTTTTCTAAAAAGAAAAACAAGTAGGTTAAATTCTAATTTGGGCCGTATTATTATATCGTGCGGCATTTGAATGAGATAACTCCCAGACAAATTAGCCTTTCTTAATATAGATCCAAGCCTCAAATTAACTCGTCATGAAGACAAGTCCACTAGTTAAGAATCATCCTTAAATTCATTAGTAGATCTCATAGTAACCTGTCCAGATAGACAAGTCACATATTAATTCTCAAGCCATAATATAATCTCAAGGCCACAAATACTTTTGAAAGAGAGATCCCGCGAGACATAACGGATGTTAGGTTGCAACACCACCCTCAATCAAGAGAGTAATATGGGGTCCATTGACCTCAAACCGTCCCTAAGTATCATCTTAGAGAGACATCGTACCATCTGCTTGGTCCCAATACCCGCACACCTAGGTTCCACATGAACCTAGGAGAAGGTCGCTTACAACATGATAGCTCCGCGTACTAGCTCAGGGTGAAGTAGATGAAAAGGGGGCCTGTCCAGGGTATACAAATTAAAAAATATTATTATTATAAATATTTTTTTATTTTTTATAAGAAAATTTAAAAAAGAATTGTAAAATAAAATAATATTAAAAAAATGTAAATTAAGATAATGAAGGCCATAAAATTATTAAGGTGTCAATTGTAATTATTGAATTTTATATTAATGTTAATAAATAGTTTTATTTCCCAAAATAAACCTAATTAAAATTTTTTATTTTTTATTTTTTTTGAATTAGGGGCTCAATTTTAATTTCGTCCCGAACCCCAAAAATAATAATCAAACCATGATTCTAATTAATAATATGAATAATTATCTGATGTATTAATGGTTCGAGAGTGTCAAATATTACTTAACATGTACATCAAATAAATTATACAGTTGTCTCTCTTCTGTTTAAAGAGACAATCCAATCTATCCCTGTGAGCATTTATCCTCTGGGTTGGCTGGCTCACCTCCTCGTCCTTTTGATCCGGTGCTTCCGTATTTACGTTATCGTTTTCCTTTTTACACAAGAGCACGCTGTCCAAGCGGAACGACAACGTTCTATCAAAACTCCACATGGACTCCCTTTCCCAAAGCCTAAGCCCCTCCAATCAGATTCCAACTCACCCGTTGCATGCAATAGGAGACGAACAGCTAACACGTGGACAATCGTCAAACTTAACCGACTAATGAAACCCCAAAAGCCAAAAGTGGCACTGTTTGTGATACGAAAATGCCAAGGACAAAAACAAAACCACCAAAAAATCCTGATAGGTGTAGCCACGCATGGCGGCCAAAGACACGCGTTGTAACCAGGAAGACTAACAGAGGGCGTTTTTTATTGGTGTAAAAGTGGGGTTCGAGTTTTGAGTGTAGGATCGAATTTCAATGGCTTGATTGTTAAATATAAATTAAATTTTGCTTTGCTGTTGCGTTGTTCGTATGTAGTAGGCGTAGAGTGTTCGGCTGAAGTATGATTATGTGTTAGCATGCAAGGACCCATTTGGTACTACAAATCCCACATGTCTGTATCTTCTTCTAAGTAACTAAAAGTCTAAAACACGTACCCATCATCCAATGTCCAAGTGTCAATCTCTTCTTCATCTTTGTTTCTATGTTGCCTTGCACTCATTGGCTGGTTTCTGCTCTTTAAAACCACCCCATCTCGAGAGCCAATCAATCTTCGGTTCACAATTTACAATTCCCTTTTTCTTTATCTTCTTCTGTCTTACTGCTGAGATATAATCTGTCCAAAATCTTCCATTTCAACTTTTGGTTGAATTTTGGGTGTGAAGGCTGAAATTAGGAAGAAGGCACTATGATTAAGACGCTGAATCCTTGCTCCTCCACAGCCAAAACAGCTGAAATCATGTCAAGGTATAGGCCTATAGCTCCGAAATCTGATGTGTCTGCCAACAACATGAATGAGAGCTCAGGTATGTCTCAAAAGATCAGGCAATCTGCTTATTTGAGGAATTTGTGGCCTCAGCTGCAAGATAGGCCTACTAGGACTAGAAAGAAAGGCAGAGCCGCTTTATCATCAGCTGCACCACTCAAGAAAGCAAGAACCGATGTCCTAGAGTTTTATTCACCGAGTTTTGTAACATCCCCTGTTCAGAACCTCTCTTTGCAAAGTTTTCCGTCTGGAATTCATCAGATTTCTGTTCCTAACTGTGGAACCGTTGGTGGTAGCATGGACGGTTCTACTACACCGCCAGCAAGTTTGGTAACGCTTCCCCTCCTTCCATGTCCTCCCTCGGTTCCCCTTGTTGGTAACAAAGCGACGGTAATAGATTTGAACAAAGTGGCTAAAATTCCAGAAGAGATGGATCTATTGAAGCAGCTCCAAAGTCCTCCCAAAAGCAGCGTTATAGCACCTAAGCCAGTTCGACTTCAACCAGTCGGCTCCATTATCAGTGTTGGGTGCATCAAAGAGAATACAAGCGTAATGCAAGCACCAAAGATGGCAGAAGAGGTTGAGTTCGAGGCCTTGCCAGCAATAATTTCAGACTCAAACAACAAAGTTAGACTGGTAAATTCTGCTTACAAACAGATGGTGGGTCAACCAGAATGTCCATGGCTCGACTCCATAGTAACATGTGAAGGAAGAGTCCTAGATAACTCATGCAAGAGAATCTGTGGGGAAGTACTGCTACATCTATCTGATTCGAGTTTGCCAGTTAAATCAAACGGATTTTCATGCTGGGTGAAGATTGAGTGGGGAAGTGAAGGCAAGAAGAGCTCAGTCAAAGCTTTCTGTAATGTTACCAGATCAACATGTCAGTTAAAGGACTCTCTCTTCACATGGAGGTTCCATCCATATCCACAAGGAAGCGCATCTCATTTTAGGCGAACTTGCCCTTGAAATTTGAAGTGTATACAGCTGTTTTACTAAAAATACAAGCTAAGCTAGTACCGTATGTACAGTTGAGACATACATATCAAGTATAAAGTGGAGTACTTTTCTGTCGGTATCTTTTGTGTCTCTGTACATATGCCAAGTTTGTACTCCATCGCTTCGACTTCGTTTGTGGATCTGAAAATTATTCCAGCAACCACCGAAAAAAATATGAAAATAATGGCACAGAGCAGATTATCTTGGCATAAAACAAAGCTCGACCACTAATATATTATTTTCCAACCATCATTAAAAAATAATAAATAAAAGTTCGTATACACTTTATCCAACCATAAATCACAAATATGTTTTTTTTTTGTTGTTGTTGTAAATACATGTAATGATAAGCTTCTGCCATATGGAGCTCTCTAATTTGCTATTTCATTTATTTATCATCTTTTTATGCATAAAATAGAACAGCTTCCATAAGAAACCTTTGAATTATGAAATGCTCTCCGTGGGACTCGATCACATGATCTCAAGATTAAAAACCTTGTGCTCTACCAACTGAACTGGATAGTCATTTCATATCATTTTTACATGCATATGCATAATATATCAGAAGCGAAAGTAGAATAATAACGTAGTAACAAGAAGTCTGGAAATTACAATCCTCATAGGTTACTCCAGAGAAATCAAAGTTTTAAAAATTGCTCGTCTGTTCACTCTCTCTTTATTTTTACTTATAGACTGTTATTGAGTATTTATCTCTCTCTCTTTCTATTTTTGTTCCATTAGAAAAGCGAATCTGTTTTTGTTGTTCAAATTGTTTCCATAATTGATCTGTTAAGTTTTTAGCAGTTAATAGTTGAATCTACCAACTGGATATATCATTCTTAATTCATTTTCTCGTAATTAATCCCTAGAGTTTCGTTTGTTCTTTGAACTTTCTTTCTATTCGTATATATCTGTGGATTTTGCTACAATTGACCTCACAAACCCGTGTTTTTGAAGGTTTGGATCTAGATCTGTGGTTTTCTTTGATTCTACTTATTTTTCTTATTATTGGATGTTGTTATAATTGACGAAATCAAAACTAAAGTTGAGTTTTCGGTGTTTTAATTTTATAATTCAGCTTGTGTTTGTTAGATCTAGATGTTGAGTTTTGCTTTGAGTAGGATTTACTGGATCTTTATTTTTCTACTTTGCTTTGAGTAGGATTTACTGGATCTGTATTTTTTCATTGTCATAGACTCCTAGTATTCAATTCAAATTTTTCAAAAAAAAATTGAAATTGACAGTAAACATTAGGACGCATTTTATAAATTAACAATCAATATTATTCTATTTTCTTCCCTTTTAACACTAGGCTTTTAGCAATTAATTTTAATCATTAATATTTACTCCCGCATAATAATAAAAATCAATATTATTATATTTTCTTCCCTTTGACACTAGGCTTTTAGCAATAATAATAACAATAGTATTTTATAAATTAAAATCTTATTTAGCAACCAACTAGGCTGCTTAGTACCCCTCAATTCTCTAGCGTTTTATTGGTGCATCTTCTGTCTTCTTTGGATTCCTTTTTCATAGTTCCTCATAGCTGCGGTTGTAGATGATTACTTGAGGTTATGTCATTCTTTTAGATCCCATAGGGCGTATAGGGGACGGGCTCGACAGAGTGGTGTCAAGGAGACTAGACTTAGAGTTTGTACGTTGAATGTAGGCACATTAAATGCTAGGCTGTTGGAGCTGACCGACGTACTAAGTAATAGGAAAATAGTTTTTGCATGTATTCAAGAGACTAGGTGGAAAGGGGCTCGTGCCAGAGAGTGTAACGGGTACAAGTTGTGGTATTCATGCATAGATAACGCTAGAAATGGGGTGGGTATCTTGGTATCCTCTAGGCTCAAGGAAAATATAGTTGAAGTTTGCAGATACCGTGATAGGATCATGCTGATTAAGGTTATTATAGAAGCGGAAGTGGTGAATGTCCTTTCAGTCTACGCCCCACACGTTGGCCTAGGGGGAAACGTTGCTTATGGGGTTCGTTAGATGATGTACTTAGGAGCATTCCGGAGGACCAAAGAGTTTTCATAGGGGGACACTTCAATGGTTATATAGGTAGTGAAATCAACGGGTATGACGGTGTTTATGGGGGTTTCAGTTTTGGTAGTAGAAATGAGGAGGGGTGTACATTGCTTGAATTTGCTACTGCACACAATTTGATGGTCACTAACTCATTCTTTAACAAGAGAGATGTGAATTTGATTACATTTTATAGCAGGGGACATTGTACCCAAATCGACTACATCCTGGTTCGAAATCGGGATCGATGGGCTTGCATTGGTCATAAGGTGTTCCCTGAAGAGGCATGTGCATCACAACACAGATTGTTGGTTTTGGTGTTCCGCGTACGCCACGGGGGGAGCACTCATAGGAGGGCTAAACTAGATAAACCTAGGATCCTTTGGAATAACTTACATGGAGCGACAGCTGATGACTTTAGGAGTAAGGTTTTGTCTCATACAGGTTTTGGTACTACAAACTCAAATAATGCAAATATGTTATTGTAAAATATGACAAATTCCATCAGAGAGGTGGGCAAAAACACCCTTGGGTTGTCGACAGGGAAGGTCAAGGAACATAAAGAATCATGGTGGTGGAACGATGAAGTCCAAACTACGGTAAAGACAAAGCAAACTTGCTTTAAGGAGTTGCTACAATGCAATGACGATGAAGAAAGATCGAGAGTTAAACAAAGATACAATGAGGCAAAGCGGGAAGCCAAGAAAACAGTGGCTAAAGGAAAGGATAAGGCATACGAGGAAATGTACAAGAGATTAGACACCAAGGAAAGACAAAACGACATCTCCAGGCTTGCAAAATCCAGGGAGAATAGGAAAAAGGATCTAGGTAGCATTAGGTTTATTAAGGACAACAATGGTGTTCTTTTAGTGAAATATCATGATATTAAGAGGGTTTGGGTAGTTATTTCTTTGGCTTATTTAATAACGGTGCCTCTCCATGTAGAGATAGTAATGTTGACGGGTCAGCCACCCATCATACTACGGCCAATGACTACCATACTAGTAGGATCGGAATTGAGGAAGTCAAAATGGCCCTCAGAAAGATGGGGAGGGACAAAGTTTTCGGTCCATATCAAATTTCAATCACTGTTTGGTTGACCCTAGGAGAAGAGGGAGTTAAGTGGTTGACCAATAACTTTAATATTATTTTAGAGACTGCTAAGATGCCAGAGGAGTGGAGAAAGTCTACGGTGATTCCAATCTATAAGAATAAAGGAGATCCCCAACGTTGTGGTAACTACAGAGGTATTAAACTACTCAGTCATACCATGAAGCTATGGGAAAGAGTGATAGAGAGTAGGTTGAGACAAATTACTAGGGTTTCGGAAAACCAATTTGGCTTTATGCCAGACAGGTCTACTACGGAGGTGATTCATCTACTTCGACGGCTTATGGAGAAATATAGGGGGAAAATAGAGATCTTCACATGGCGTTCATTGACCTTGAGAAGGCGTATGATAGCGTACCCCGCGATATGATCTGGAAGACCTTGGAAACGAGACGGGTCCCAACTGCTTATATCCGAGCGATTCGCGATATGTACTGTAGATCAACTACATACGTCAGGACTATAGTTGGCGACACCGAGGCATTCCCGGTGGAAATCGGACTCCACCAGGGGTCGGCTCTTAGCCCTTACATCTTCGCATTGATTATGGACGACATCTATTGGGCGACACCAGACGGTGTTCCATGGTGTATGCTTTTCGCTGACGACATTGTCCTAGTTGCTGAAACAAAAAATGAGCTGAATAGTAGACTGGATACCTGAAAGACTACTTAGGAAGAAAAAGGTCTAAGGATCAATATTGAAAAGACAGAGTATTTATGTTCAAACTACAATGGGAACCAAAACGATGAAGATGTAGAAGTATGCATAGAATGACACGTTCTCCCTTCAAATGATTGTTTCAAGTACCTAGGGTCTATGATACATAAAGATGGAGGTGTGGATTATGATGTTTCACACCGTATAAAGGCGGGATGACTAAAGTGGATGGCTGCTACTGGAGTCTTGTGTGACAAGAATGTGCCTCTAAAACTTAAGGGAAAATTTTATAGAATGAAAATAAGAGCAGCGCTGTTGTATGGATCAGAATGTTAGGCAATCAAGAATGATCACGTAAGGAGGATGGAGGTCGCAGAAATGAGAATGCTTCGATGGACATATGGTAGGAATCTGTGGGACATGACACCAAACTCTGTAATCAGGATGTCTTGGGGGTGGTGCTTGTATCCGAAAAATTGAGGGAAGGAGGGAAGACTACGGTGGTTTGGGCATGTCCTTAGGCGATAACCGTCGGATGCGGTCAGGAGGGTAGAGTCGATTACAGTCGACGGTTCCAGAAAGAGAGGACGACCAAGGAGGAAGTGAGAAGACTGCTTGAGATCTGATTTGAAGGAATTAGCCCTTACTGAGGACATGACCTCTGATAGGAGAGTATGGAGACTTAAGACCAGGGTAGCCGAGTAGTGTGGGTCACAGCCATAGGGTGTAGCTTCTCTGTCCTCTTTTTAATTGCCTTTGTAGTAATTTCCATTGACCTCTACTTTTTATACGTTTATGTCATTGAAGTTTATGAAGGCCTAGAACTAGGGTAGTGGATTAGTGTTGCCTTAGTCTAGGTTTTAACCCATTTGACTTTATTCCTTCTCGTAGATTGATACCGATGACTTCTGTGTATCCTTCTCTGCATATGAAGACTATTCAACTATGTATTTATTTATTTATACATGCATTGTATTTTATCTTTATTTTTAATTTTCTGACTGTCGGAAGTCTTACACAGAAGCTGCTCTTAACCTGGCGTTGGGGGCAGCCTACTACCCTATCTCCTCCTTACCCCATTGCATATGGGAATAGGGTTTTATTATTGTTGTTGTTTGTAAACATGTGTAAATATTCTGGTTTTCTTTTCTATACTGTGGAAAGCTAAGGCGTTGCAATTCAAAACAGAAGTCTTTAAAATCAACACCGACACCACAACAAAGTTTAATTTGTTAGTAACAAAGATAAATGAGTAAATCAAAGAAAATAGAGAAACAAACCTTTAGAAGAGGGGTATGTCGCTTCTTGACATGCAGAAATACAAGTGTCAAACCAGT